TTATTAAAAAACCACATTTTCTTTATCCAGTCTCCAGTTGATGGGCATTTGGGCTGTTTCCAAGTTTTAGCTATCACAAACTTTTACTCTTTACTTTTACTCTGAGTGTGTCACATAAGAGAAACAACACACTATTTAAACTTATGTGTCTGATTTATTTCACTTAATATTATGGTCTGAAGGTGTATTCATTTTCCTACAATGACTCAAACCTATTCTTCTTTACAGCTGAGTAGTACTTCATAATGTGTAAATATATTTTCTTTATCTATTCCTCTAAACATGCAATTTGTATGAGTATCCAAAAGGTGGAACACAAAAATCAGAACCTGGAAAGATACGAATAAGGAAGAGAATGACTAGACCCAATAATTCTGCATTATCTAGGGATGAAGAGATTTACAGCCACATTAAATCGCATCAAAATCTGACTTTACTAGATGTGAAATAGTATAAGCAACTTAATTTTCTCCACTTTAGTTTTCTTATCTGTAATTCTGGTATAAAAACACATTTACATTAATGGCTTTGTGCATAATAAGTCAGTTAATATTTGTAAAATGCTGTATGAAGCCTGACATAATAAATCTTTGATAAATGGTAAACTCTTACCATATTTATCATACTTTATTAATTTCCACTACCCCCTAAGTGGTGATTTATTATAACCCTATAACTATAAATGTCAAACCCTGGATGTTTGAGGTTTGGAATTACCTGCATTTATATTGGGAAGGAAGTTTGGTTGTAGAGTTAACAAAACCTAGGACTGGATTCCAGCTTCCTCTAGATAGTAAAATGAGAAGTTTTAATTTGGCTTTAGTTTCCTCATCTTTAAAATAGAATGAGACCTATCTTGCTAGGTTGTACACAAGGTTGTGTAAATAGTATGTGGATGGTGGCAAACACAAAATGATATCTCATAAACAGCAACAATATTATTGCAACTAAAAAGAGAGGAGACAAATGTTTCATGATTTTTTATTGGCATATATTAAAGTGGAAATTCAAGCAAAGAAATAATATTTCAATTTTATGCCAGTTCACTAAGCAGATTAAAATCCCTAGCGAAGTAACTGTGTTGCTATTCCCAATGACTGCGAGATTCTGATGTGAATTATAACATATTTTAATACTGGAAAAAATAAGTCATTTGTGCATTTCAGCAGCCCAAAGAGAAGCCTTGCTTGGTGTGATTCACTGTAATGGTATATTTACAGAAGCACTTCACTTTGTCTGGGGCAGAATGCTTTTTGAAGTCATTAACCTGCAGAAATAATGACAAGAGAGTACTGCAAGAGTGTTCAAGGGTGTGGTGACATAAGGTTTCCTTCACTCCTAATGGCGGTCTTGATTAATGCAGCAAAAAATAGTCCTCTGGAGTTGAGAGTGTATCAGAGAGCACTTGAAACAAAACCCCTCAAAAAGTCTTCTGCTGATCACTCATATTAATCACATTAACATTGACTCCCAGACACTGCACAATTATTTAACACTATGATTTCTCTGAAAAACTACAGAGTCCATAGATTTAGAATTTAAGCAATATCACAAATCATAGTCGACATATCCCTTGCTGACTCTGGGGGAAGTAGTGTGAGCATAATAGAAAGGATATCACACGTGTTTTCAGCACATCTTTACTCTGCCACTCACAGGTCCGTGGACACTGCTGTTTATTGATCTGCTCAGTCTTTTTGTCCTCCTCTGGAGAATGAGAATCCAGAATACACTGACCTCAACATGTTCCTGTGAAGGTTAAATCAAGTAACAAGTAACATACATTCATCGCTGACAATATTTGTAGCCACAAATATATGAATTGAACTATTAAGCAACTCAAACATTACTTTTAGCATTAAGTGGGTAATAATCACAGTAGTTAGTATTTAGTGTGTATTTGTATGAACCATGTGGTGGGTTAAATATTTTATATTCCTTATGTCATTTCATCCCCACAATAAACTTATGAGGAAAGTTTTGTTGTTACCTTTTTCTCATTTAAGGAAAAGAGGGTTTAGAGAAGTTAAGTTGCCAATCTATGGTTACAATCGAAGGCAATTGCCAAAACCAGGGCAAGACAAGTTTTTCTCACACCAAAACATGTATGCTTCCAAATTATTGGTTTTCAAATTACTTCTTAACAACAAAACATTCTCTTCAGATAAATATTTTGTAGTCTAAATCCATATCACAGATGAGAAGTAGGCTAACTGCATTCCATCAGGGTCTGAGTACTTTACCCTCAAGGTGGCCTTAGAACTACCTCAGAGGAAGCCCGGGGTCAGTAGAACACAGTGTTCAACAAAACATTTGACAATTCTGATGATCATATATTTTTCACATTTATGATTTTGACAGTTTGCAACCCACTGAAAAGGCCTAGGACAAGCAATCATTTGTCATGTTCCTGAGGTTTTAATTTTATTCTTACATTGCAAAACTGTTGGGAACAAGTCACTTAGCAGCTCTTTGGGAGTATAAAATAAACACAATTCACACATGATTCATGGCAAAAGCTCACAAATTGGGAGATTTCTGAATAATTTACGATACGTTATTGACAAAATGTCTAGATCCTACAATACTAAGTTCCTGCACACTGGCTGAAAATGTCTTTCATTTTGTCACTAATGAGTAAGAGATGTCACATTACTCCACACAGTGCCTCAGCATTTCCTAGGGTTGCCAGATTTAACAAATAAAAATGTAAGATATACAGTTAAATTGGAATTTCGGGCAAACAAGGAGTATTTTTTGTATAAATATGTCTCAAATATTGCAAGATGCATACCTATAAAAATTACTTATCATTTCCTTAAAATAATTTGGACTTTGTAGGCTAATTAATAAAGCAAGTTATTAACAGCACATAGTTAATAGCAACATATCTTGATTCACATACACAGATTTTCTTAATGAATCAGTTCATACTCTGGTTTCTCTTCAGATTGCATAAATCCTAATGAATCAGTTCACATAAGTGACAAAACAAGATGAAACAAAAGCTATAAATAACATATAAATGTATCATAAAAATACAATCAGTAAGATTGAAAATTGTGTGGACAGATTAGCATCTTAGACACAATTCAGAGAATTAGTGAGCCAAAAGATATATATTGAGAAATTTCCCATGAACAAAGAGATAAGAAATATGAAAGAGAAATTAAAAGACATACAGAATGGATGAAAAGGTACTATATTTACTTAATCAGAGTTCCAGAGAGAAAATATACAAATAATAATAGGAAAGGCATAATAGCTGACAATTTTTCAGAGTTGATGAAAGACAGCAATAATTAGATGAAAGAATTTATAGTCACAAAGGGCAAGTAAAAAGAATTCAGCTTTATA